TGACTTTATTTTCTTGGTTCACTGATGCATTCTGGTATCTTGAAAGCAATCCTATTCTCTCAATCTCCATAGCATAAATTATGTGTTAAAATCAGGTGGTTGCCAGGCATGGTGGTGCATACTGGTAATCTCTGCTGCGTGGAAGGCTGAGGCAGGAGGTTAGCAAAGTGGAGTTCAGTTTGGAACTCCAATTTGAGTGAGGCCCACATCTCAAAATAAAAAATAAAAATGGGCAGGAATTGTCGCTTAGTAGTACAGTGCCACTGGATTTAAATCCAGATTTTCAGTACTGCGAATAAAATAAAATATTGTGATATCTATGCTCAGCACTATTATCCATCATTGAGCTTTAGGTTCTTTTCAGAGTCAAAAGACCAAAAGAAAAGTAAAATGGAACCCCCTCTTTGCATGTAGTACTGGGAATTGAACCCAGAGTCACTTTATGAACTACATTCCCCAGTGCTTGAAAAAAAAACAAACCCATTTTGAAAGGAAAAAGGAAAAGTTTTTTTTAATCTGTGGATGACATAACTGCCTATGTGGAAAATTTAATTCACTCTATAAAATTTAAGTACTACAATTAGTAAGTGAGTTTAGAAGATTGTGGAATGCTAAATAAGTGCACAAAAATCAATTTTATTTATATCCAGCAAAGAACAATCAGAAATTGAAATGTAAAAAAGATTGGTGTATACAGTGTTAGGTGGAGAAACTGGGATTATCATATACTACTATAGGGAATATAAAATGGCACAGACACTTTAGAAAATTTATGGATAGTTGTTTTCAAAATTAAATATACATGTACCATGTAATCCAGCCAGTCCCCTCCTAGTTATTTAACTAAGGGAAAAAAAAAGGATATGTCCATTTAAAGACTTGTACACAAATATTAAGGGCCATTTGTAATTGCCATATATTGGAAGGAACTGAAATGTCCATCAGCAGGTGAATGCATGAAAAAAGTATGATATATCTACACAAATGAAGCTACTTAGCAATAAACCTGAATGAACTAGTGATATATATTACAGTGTGAACAAATCCCCAAATAACTGTGCTGAGTGCAGAAAGCCAGATTTTTTTTTTTTTTTTTTTTTTGGTACCAGGGATTGAATTATTCAGGGGCACTTGACAACTAAGCCACATCCCCAGCCCTAATTTGTATTTTTATTTAGAGACAGGGTCTCTCTGATTTGCTTAGTGCCTCACTTTGGCTGAGACTGGCTTTGAACTCAAAATCCTCCTACCTCTCTCTCCCACGCCTCTGAGATTACAGGTGTGTGCCTTCACACTTGACTACAAGAAGCCAGATTTTTAAAAGACTACAGTATATATGATTTAATTTATATAATTTTAGAAAATGCAAATGAGAAATGAGGAAGGCATAACCAAGGAGCACATGGGCAATTTTGGGAGTGATAGATATGCTCTGTCTTAACTTTGGTGATAATGGTTTCATTGATATATAAATATGTCAATCACATTCAATTGTACACCTCAAAATATGTACTTAACTGCAAATTGATCATTTATCAATATTTTTAAAGCTAGAATTATGACAAATACTAGAAGAGGATCCATTTCCAAAAACACTGTGTTTAACTTGCAGTCTCTCTCTTTAATAAACTTGAACACGATGACATTGACTTTAACATATGCAATGTTCTGTAAAAGAGTGCTTTGAAAGTTCTTCTAAATTAGTCTCTCTAATTGAAACAGAATTCATCCAGCTAATAGCCTCACAAAATTAAATTTAGTTTTTAGGATTTTGTCATATGGTTCAATTTGTGCAAATCCTCCTCATCTCCATTTAAAACCAAAAATGTAGTAAAAGTCCACAGGGAACTGTGTCTTGAGAGAAGTTGTAACTTCCAGAAGTCAGTCTTTGTTGTTTGTATATACATGGGCCTCTCCTTCCCCTGAGGTCCAGCCTGGGAGAGGTTGATGTAGGAGACAGCCAACCCAATGCCAAACTTGTATTATTTACTCAAGCATGTACCTTTAACATGGGACAGTCAGTATTCTGCCGTACTCCTAAAAGGAAGTTGACATAGCTCATTTTAAACTACACAGAACATAAGCAAATAAAAAAGGTCATCATTTCCCTTTGTTCTTTATCTCTTCCCAAGTCCACCTAAGAATAAGAGTTCTGGTTTATTAGGTAAGATCAATGCATACAGAGACTTTTTCTCCACCTTAAAATATGAAGTAATTAAAAAAAAACTGCTTATGTACAGGCTGTATGCACGAAAAGAAAAATAAACCTGAAAAAAAGAAATTATTTTCAGCACATTGTGTATGTTTTAGAAAATATCTTTATGACTGGACTCAGAGAGGGTTTCAGGTGTAGCCCTCTTACCCTGGAAAAGAGGGCAAGAGACTTCTGCAAAACCAGCCTAGGGACACTTAGATGAGTCTGAAAGGTTGGGAGTGAGGGAGTCTCTGCCCATCCCCAGCTGCGGCTCCTTAATTTCAAGATTTATCTAGGTGTTTGACACAATTACAATGGGGCCATGTATCATTCTCCCAGGGAATGTTCTCTTACTTCAAAGGGCTTGCTGTGGAAGGGCAAGACATGACCTAGTAGAGCTTCTTTGTAAGTTACTGGAAGCCAATGTGTTCCTCCTGCTCTGGCTGTGCAGGCACAAACCAAACACCATTTAACACGGCTGGCATTTTTTCTTGTCCTTTCCTATTTGGAAAAGGACATTGACCCTAGAGAAAGTCAGGTTACTGACTCATGGAGGAGGGGGAACATCAGAGGACAGAACATCCGATAATGGCCCCCTTTAAACTTCACATCCCCTTTCTGGTGATGCTCCAACAAGTTCTTAAACAGTCTCAGAAATTACAGTGTGATTAAGGTGGACATCTTCAGTGGTATCATGTGGACATCATAAAGCTCCCAATGCGGTATGACATTAAAGACACTTAACCTGCAAGATTTTTCCAATGTAATATTAGACTTTTCCAGAGTAAACGTATGGAAAAAAAAATGACAGACCAACACAATGTTTAGAGACATTCTACAGGACCTCCAGACAGAACTCCTCAAAATGGTCAAGGGCATGAACAAAAAGCAAAGAGAGAAACTGACCTCAAGCATAAGAGACCATGGAGAAATGACAGTTAAGTACAGGATCCTGGAACCCACAGAATACATCAATGGAAAAACTGGCAAAATCCAAATAACGTCTGACAATTAGTTAATAGTAAACACCAGTGTTTTTTTTAATCGTGACAAATATATTATGACATTATAAGATATTGACAATGAGGGAATCTGGATGAACTATGTGTACATCTTTGCAACTTTACCAACAATATAAAATTATTCTAAAACTTTTAAAAGGTCTCTTCAAAATTATAAAAAAAAGTTGATCCAAAAAGAATGTTTGTAGTTTGTTGAAAAAAATAAACCTTTATAGCTCACAAAGATGATGCCTGAATAAATGAAAAAAAAATTATCTAAGCAGATGATGTTCTTAAATCATTTCCTCTACACTATGAATTGCATGGCTCTCTTTCCCCACCAAAATCCCTCCCAAATTTGGTAGGTTAAGTTCTTCACAGAAGTAGAAAAAGCAATTATAAAATTCATTTGGAATCACTTCTTGGCCTTTTGGCTAAAATCAAGTGTAGTATCTGTTCTTATCAGTTTATTATCTGATATGTTCTGTATCCGAGGACAATATATTAAATGGATTTTTGGAGCAGGGAAATGGAATAGGAGCTTGCTCTATCCACCCCACACATTGACCTGGTATCGCAGTACCTTCAGGAATAGTGCACTCTCCTCAGGAGACTAAAAAAAGTCATTTGAAAAAATAAGAGACTCAGAATAGGTAAAACAATCCTTAGCAAGAAGAGTGAAGCAGGAGGCATCATAATACCAGACCTTAAACTATACTACAGAGCAATAGTAATAAAAATGGCATGGTATTGACATCAAAATATACATGTAGTCCAATGGTACAGAATAGGAGACATAGAGACAAAACTACATAAATACGATTATCTCATACTGAACAAAGGCTCCAAAAACATAGCCTATTCAACAAATGGTGCTGGGAAATCTATATGTAACAAAATTAAATTAAACCCTTATCTCTCACACAGCACAAAAATATTAATTCAAAGCAGATCAAAGACTTAGGCACTAGAACAGAGACCCTGCACCTAATAGAAGAAAAAGTAGGTCTAAATCTTCATCATGTTGGCTTAGGACCCAACTTCCTTAACAAGATCCTAAAGTGCAAGAGGTAAAATCAAAAATCAAAAATGGTGTGGATTCAAACTAAAAAGCTTCTTTTTAGAAAAGGAAACAATCAATAATATGGAGAGCCTACAGAATGGGAGAAAATCTTTACCACAAGACCTCAGTTAGAACACTAATCTCCAGGACATATAAAGAATGAATTCAAAACACACACACACACACACACACACACACACACACACACCCCAACCAATAAATAGGCTCAGGAACTGAATAGACACTTCACAGAAGAAATACAATCAATCAACAAATATTATGAAAAAATGTTCACTGTCTCTAGCAATTAGAGAAATGCAAATCAAAACTATTCTGAGATTCATCTCACTCCAATCAGAATGGCAATTATCAAGAAAAGAAGCAATAACAAATGCTGGTGAGGATGTGGGGGAAAAGGTGCACTCATTCATTGCTGGTGGCACTGCAATTTGGTACAACCACTATGGAAAGCAGTATGGACATTCCTCAGAAAACTTAGAATGGAAACATCATTTGACTCAGCTATCCCACTCCTCAGTTTATACACAAATGACATAAAAATCAGCATACTGTGGTGATGTAGCCACATCACTGTTTATAAATTTAGCTAAATTCACAATAGCTAAACTATGGAACCAATGTAGATGCCCTTCTACAGATGAATGGAAAGGAAAATGTTGTACAGATACACAATGGAATATTACTTAGCCTTAAAAAAAGAACTAAAATTTGGCATTTGCAGGTAAATGGATGGAGCTGGAGAATATGATGCTAAGCTGTGTATTCATCTGGTCCTGGGCTTTTCTTGGTTGGTAAGCTTCTGATGGCTTCTTCTATTGGTCTGTTTAAATTGTGTATATCTTCCTGACTCAACTGGGAAAATCATATGACTTAAGAAATTTGTTGATGCCTTCAATGTCTTCTACTTTATTGGAGTATAAGATTTCAAAATAATTTCTAATTATACTCTATATTTCTATAGTGTCTGTTGTGATAGTACCTTTTTTCATCACGTATGTTAGTAATTTGAGTTCTCTCTCTCCTCTTCATTAGCATGGCTAAGGATTTGTTAATTTTATTTATTTTTTCAAGGAACCAACTTTTTGTTTTGTCACTTTTTTTCAATTTTTTATTTTGTTTCAAATTTATTTATTTCAGCTCTAATTTTAATTATTTCTTGCCTTCTACTGCTTTTGCTGCTGATTTGTTCTTCTTTTTCTAGGGCTTTGAGATGTAGTGTGAGGTCATTTATTTGTTGAATTTTTCTTCTTTAAGGAGTGAACTCCATGCAATGAATTTTCCTTAGTACTGCTTTCCTAGTTTCCCAGAGATTTCAATATGCTGTGTCTATGTTCTCATATACCTGTAAGAATTTTTTAATCTCCTCCTTGATGTCTTCTGTAACCCATTTTTCATTCAGTAGCATATTGTTTAGTCTCCAGGTGATAGAGAAATTTTTATTTTTTATTTTGTCATTGATTTTCAATATAATTCCATTATGATCTGATAAAATGCATGGTAGTATCTCTACCTTTTTGTATTTGTTAAGAGTTGCTTTGAAGACAAACAACAATAAGTGTTGGGGAGGATGTGGGGAATAGATATACTCATACATTGCTGATGGGACTGCAAATTGGTACAGTCAATATGGAAAGCAGTATGGAGATTCCTTGGAAATCTGGGAATGGAACAACCATTTGACCCACCTATCCCTCTCCTTGGACTATACCCAAAGGTATAGTCCAAGGACTTAAAAATAGCATACTACAGGGACACAGCCACATCAATGTTTTTTGGTTTTTATTTATTTTTTTAAAGAGAGAGAGAGAGAATTCTTAATATTTATTTTTTAGTTTTCGGCGGACACAACATCTTTGTTTGTATGAGGTGCTGAGGATCGAACCCGGGCTGCACGCATGCCAGGAGAGCGCGCTACTGCTTGAGCCACATCCACAGCCCCACACATCAGTGTTTATAGCAGCAAAATTCACAATAGCTAAACTGTGGAGCCAACCTAGATGTCCTTCAGTGGATGAATGGATAAAAAAATGTGGCATATATACAAAATGGAATTTCACTCAGCATTAAAAGAGAATAAAATCATGGCATTTGCAGGTAAATGGATGGCATTGGAGAAGATAATGCTAAGTGAAGTTAGCCAATCCCAAAAAGCCAAATGACAAATGTTTTCTCTGATATAAGGAGGTTGACTCATAGTGGGGTAGGGAGGGGGAGCACGGAGGATTAAATGAATTCTAGATAGGAAAAGGGGTGGGAGGGAAGTGGAGGGGGCAGGGGGTTAGCAAGGATGGTGGAATGTGATGAACATCATTATCCAAAGTACATGTATGAAGACTCAAATTGGGTCTCACCATACTTTATATACAAACAGAAATATGAAAAATTGTGGTATATATGTGTAATAAGAACTGTAATGCAGAAAAAAACAAAATAACAAAGTACATATATAAAGGTATAAATTGGCATGAACATACTCTATATACAAAGATATGAAAAATTTTACTCTATATGTGTAATAAGAATTGTAATGCATCTTGATGTCATGTATTTAAAAATATCAATAAAACTAAAAAAACCCTAAAGGCTGAATATTTTCTTTAATAAGCAGATGCTAATCCAAAATGAGGGTATAGGGAAGAATGAAGGAACTTTGGGTTGATTGGGCAGAAGGGAGTGAGGGGAGGCGAGAGGGTTTGGGGGTGGGAAGAGTGATCGAATGATATGGACATTATTACCCTATATACATGTATGATTACACTACTGGTGTGACTTTGCACCATGTACAAACAGAGGAATGAGAAGTTGTGCTCCTTTTGTGTACAAAGTGTGAAAATACATTCTGCTGTCATGTATAACTAATTTTAAAAAATCTTTAAAACACGGGTAATTAAACAATTTAAAAAAATATTTCAATAAAAAAAAGAAACTCATGTCCAAGTGACGTGAAGAGCTGTACAAACAAGGAGATTGTACTGATTATTTTTTTCCTGTGGTGCTATTGTGCAAACCTTTATTTATTGTAACACACAACATATAATTACTATTTACACATCTGTCTCCTTGCACCTTGATTTTGTGTGTGTGTGTGTGTGTGTGTGTGTGAGGCAGTAACATGTGGGTGGAAAAGAGTCTTTGGAATCAATAGCTTAACATATAAATAAATCCCAGCGGTTGAACTTTCTAGCAGGGTAACTGAACAGTGTGACACATTTCTATAAGTTATGTTCTTAATAATAAATTAGATACTACTAGTCTTCCAAGGCAAATTGTTAGATTCTGGAATGTTTATTTCTGTGCAGGACATAGGCAAAATGATACAATTTTAAAAATTAAGGTATAAAGAAAATTTTTGGTTTCCATGGAAAACTACATGGTTTATAGCACACCAGCACAGATAACCTGAGCCCAGCTTTTCATAGCTTTTAAACTATCTTAGTCAGATTTAGGTAGGCAAATATAATGCAAAATATTTTTTGTCTATAGATTTAATTCAGTCCAGTGTAGGAATAACTCTTGCCCCACCATTAGAAAAGGTAGTTTTTCCATCCCACTTGCTAATTCATTTCAATATTTAATGATTCCATATAAATTTTGTGTTCTTTTGTCTCCCCTCTTTGAACTGGTCTTAACATTTTAAAGGTCTCCCTCATCAAAATGAGACAATCAGTTGACATCTATATGATAGCCATATTTTACTTTTTTTTTGGAAAATTATTCTTTAATAAGATATACATACTATTATATTCATCTTTGCATTGCCTATGCCTATCCTGATATAAGATGTATAGTAAATGTTCATCAGATATAATTGGCACTGGGTTTTAAACAAATGGACTGTTCAAAGAAAGAAATCTTGCAATCTGAGACAAAATACAAAAAAAAAAAAAAAATAGACACTGGCTACCTACAAAAGATCTTACCGGAGCTATAGACAGGGAGAAATTTCCAGTGCAAAGTCAGCACCTCTCCTGTGAGAGAGTTTCAGCCTTATCCATTAGGGCTCAGAAAACCCAGCAGCATTGCTGTTGTCTCACTTAGGAGGAAATGCAGCTCCTTTGTGGCTAAACAGCTCACAGCAATCTTTGCCATTATTATAGGATGCTAGGAGGCCCTAAGTGGAGGTGGTTTTCATTAGCACCAGTATCCTCTGCATCTGCCAATTCTCCCCAGACATCATGGAGCTGGTGATATCACCATAGGCTATGTAAATGTTAAAGACTACGGATTTTATGTTCAGACCAATTCAGGCAGGGTCAATCTCAGCATATTTTGGCTGCATGACCTTGGGACTGAGGATCATTTTTATGAAATGCTGAGTCAAGAACACTCAAAAAAATAATCCCTACAATGACTGGGGAATTAAACTGAAGTCATAATGACTCAACAATCATAAGGAAATTCAAAAGGGAAGACCATTTGTTATTTGATTTCAGTTGAAATGATATTCTAAATTTGCCTTCACTAACTGCCATTGCACTCTCCTGGTCACTGGGTCCCATTTGCTCATTTTACCACTGGAATACCAAAGGCACTAGAGGTCATGGAGGGTCCTCCCACAGTGGCACAGTGATGCATGGCATAGGAGGTACGAGAATTCAAGTGTCCCATCTGCCTTAGCACAGCTTGGAGGCACCGGTTCCAAGTCCCACATGGAAAGCAACAAAACAATATTCTACTTCAAACAGCCCATCACAGCCCTTTTAGGAATGGAGTAAAAAGCATACGGCAATGTAGAGGGATGGGAATGCAGCTGCCATTATCAATGCTCCTGAGATCAGCACTCTGGACCTGAGGTCTTTAAAATGTTGTACGGTGCACCTACACTTTAAATGTCCTAAACTTATGGCACTCTTGAAACTTTGGCCAACTATTTTTGCAAAACCCATTAACTAAGCAATGATACAAAAGCATCAGTTTCAACCAAGTAGATGAAAAAATGTAACTATGGTTTCAGTTGATTTCAGGAATAAGTCTGTATATTTTTCTTCTATAAAATTTTGGGGGAGCTGAGTACAGTGGCACATACCTGTAATCCCAGAGGCTTGGGAGGCTGAGGCAGGAGGATCACGAGTTCAAAGCCAGTCTCAACAAAAGCAAGGTGCTAAGCAACTGAGACTTTGTCTCTAAATATAATACAAAATAGGGCTGGGGATGTGGCTCAGTGTTCCAGAGCCCTTGAGTTCAATCCCTGGTACCCCACCTCCCAAAAATATGAGGGGATAATCCCAAACCTTTGGTATCTGTACTCTTCTTAGCCCTCAATAAGGGAGCCAAGCAACTGATCACTGTTTTTGCATGTGTTCTTTTAGTGAACTTGCTAAGAGTGTGTGTGTGTGTGTGTTGCGTGTATATGTGTATAAGAGTGTGTGTATCTGAGGTATGATAAGATTCTCTGTTCAACATTATAATAGGTATTTGCAGAATGATAAAAAGAGGAAGAAAATCAACCTTTATAACCTCAAACCTCATAAAAGAACCTACATCTCCACAAAAATGCTTGTCTAAAAATGATTTTATCAACTTAACTTATAATAGCCCCAAAGTGGAAACTACCAGGTTGTCTATCAAAAGAACAAATAAACCAACCGTGATATAATTATACAGTAGGATATCATTCAGGAGAAAAGGACACACTCCCATGAACTTAGCAAAGTGGATTAACCTCAAAAACATCAGCAGGAGTGAAAACAACTCAACCTTACATAAAGAGTACAAATGTGCTATTTTATTTATTTAAATTTCTACAATGGGCAAAGCTAATCTGTGACGAAAAAATATGTTGGAACTGAGGTAGGCAGTGGATGTGTCCCTTTTTTATTTGTGAGAGTATATCTATGTGCGTGTGTGTGTGTGTGTGTGTATATATATAGGTAGATATTGACTAAGAAAGGTTAACAAGTAACTTTGTATGGGGAAAATAATGTCCTATTATCTTGCTATCATAGTTGTATTCATTATTCAAAACAGTGCATTTACAAGTATGAATTGTACATATGAATTACATAACATCACTATCAAAAATATCAAACACTAGATAATGGCAAATGTGGTGGATTTAACAATGTCTAAAGTTTACTTTAAAATGTGTTAATTTTTAAATTAAATTTTAATTAAATGAAATGTAAGTTAAAGACTAGTTGATAGGATAAAGGGGTAGATAGTTTGATTGGCATATGATAAAATGTGTACTAGAAACCAGGTTGTGGGGATACAAGGTAAGTATTGCAAGTTGGCTGTATACTTGTGATCTTCCATAATGAAATGTTGAGGGGAAAGCCCAAATAAAGTTAAAGAGAAAAAGACTGCTTACATACATGAGCTTTATCATCTTCATTGGCATCACTACCACACCCACCATTTAAATTCTTTGGAAATCTGCATGGACTCAGGTACATTCAAAATATGGATGACTCTCACATGAGACCTGAAAAGTTGGTGCTAGTTTCAGCTCACATATAAATGAAATTAATTTGCTCAAGTTTGCCAGTTAATAAGTGGCTAAACTTGAGCTTATTTCTACATCAGTTTTCTTCTTTTACTTTATTTACTTGTTATAGCTTTTTTCCCTCAATATGATTTTTGACCTCCTTTGAGCATGTGAAAAAGCAATGGAAATCTAATATGGGATTCTAGAGACTCAAGCTTGAAATTTTGTTGTTCTGACTATAGAATGCCTTAGGAAAGCAGAAAGAAATGATTAAGCAAAGTTTGAATAATATGAAAATATATGTATAAATAGGAAATAGAGATAACTTGAAGGGCAATTTTTATGATTGATTTTGTTATGCTATCCATGGCTCTAGAAGATATGAGGTCCTAGTGTACAATAGGAGACACTGAGCTGGACTTGGGATGGAGCATGGTCAAGAGCACTGTTAATCAAAGATAGTATGGGTGTTCTGAAGTTACTCATCTAAGAACAGGAACAAAAATCCTGCCACATTTATAGAACCCCTTTGATGATGTTGCACCTTTCTTTTGCTTACAAATGAAAGATGCATAAGGATGCTTTGGCTTAATGGTCTTATCTTTGATTGTTCTCCAGTTAGTTCAGAAGGCAAAACTGCTCATTGATTTAATGTGGTAGCTTCATTTCCAAATTACTTTAGGTTACATAAATTTCCAAATTACTTTAGGTTACATAAATCTAAAATATAGTGAGATCCTGTCTAAATTTCTTAATGAAAAAAATAAGCACATTCTTGGTATATTTCA